AAAAAAAAGCCCGTGAGCCTGGTCAGGTCCATGATAAGGATCCTGGCCAAGTATCACAACCTTCACCATCACAAGAAAAAATGATTACAACACTCTTAGAAAACCATGCTGTATTTTAAGAGCAAATAAACACCTCCAGAGTGTCCCGAACAACCAGACAGTGCATAAGTAGCATTTACTGACTGGTTTCAGATGCAGCTGCTGATATAAGCATGTGCACCTGCAGAGCCAGAGTCATACTTGGCCAGCGATTTGTCTCATTCTTGTTCTAGAGAGCACTTGAGTGGACAATTAACAGTCCTAAATAACAAAATGATGAGAAACAATTATTTCAGAAAATGTCAGTGTGCCTACAGTGACACTATCTGAATTGAGCCAGCATTGTCTTCCGTAGAGACACTTTATAGCTGAATTGAATTCGTTTCATAATTGATGAACTTAATTTGTTCTTAACTGTCATTTTAGAATGCATGTATCAATTTTTAGAATTAGACAATCATACAGATATATAATATAAAGCACACGCCCAAGAGATCTGTTAAAAGGGATATTTCACCCAAAAATAAGAATCCTGACCTACTTTTCTTAACTACCCTTACATTGTTCCAGACATGGAGGATGACTGTCTTCTGCAGATCTTCTTTTATGTCTCACAGGAGAAAGCCAGTCATGCAGGTTTGGAACAGCGTGAGGGCAAGTACATAATGTAAACTTTCATTTCTGGGTGAAGTTGGACAGCATCTGTTGTCTGTTGTTATCCTCCACCGGCTGGTCGCTCCCGCTTTACAGCAAGCGGTGCTCAAACTAACACCAATTCCCTTCACCGCCCGTGTTTTGGCTTCAGCAAATCAGATTTGGCGAATGCAAACAACGTTATTACTTTTCAAGAGTCCAACATGCAGCCGGTCAAGAAAGCATGCAATCTACCTGAGCCGTGATCAATAAGAGAAGTCGTCTTTCACTTTAGTAATGTTGTTAAATAGAGAAAAACATTTGACATTTAAGTAACTTCTAGCGTATTCTTAACCGTGGACCTTATTCTTGAAACACAAAATGACCAGTTAAAAAAAAAGTGTAGCCCATATAAAATCTATAAGTTGTCTTTAATTTTAAAATATGAGTTTTCACATGTTCCTTACATATACTGTCCCGTATCTTCCTTTTCTGAAGTTGGCAACCCCACCTGCCTTGCATGAGAGCATGACATCCACTCACATCTTTTATGTCCCATGCTTGTGTCCAGGTAAAAACCTCATCTGGAGGAGGGTAGATGGTGTGCTTTTGCCTCTCCTCAGCAACAAATGACATTAACTGCGAAAGAGAAACCCTGCTGTGTTACTCTACATTTGAGAAAGTTTCAAATGTCAGTTGTTTTTCATGTGCTGGTCACTTACTGCTCTAAAGCAGCGCTTCCCGAGCTCCGCGCTGAGCGCCGCCTTCCAGCTCTCTCCAAAGCCGCTCGGAAGAGCCTGGTTTCCGGCGAGCCGCTCCAGCGCAGCCGCCCTGTTCCTGGAGATCCGCTGCAGCTGCTCGGGACTCCGCGTTACATCGCCGCTCTCCAACTTCTGTTTCTTGCCCTGAGACAATATTTTAGTATATTTGGTTGAACTCTGTGTTCGCTCGGCAAAAAGGCCGGACTTTTCAACATTTAAAAACAAAAACTAAGGCAAGCTATGCTTGGGAAACATGCTTATTTATGATATCATATGAGGTTTTCTCAAAAACGCATGCTTTTTGTAGCATATACGCAAATGATACACCATATGGGTTTGCATTCGCGACTATAATTCATGCAATTCTGAGTTAACTTACAACTGAACAGAATATAAATGAAATGTAAGTTGTTTGAAGTAATCGCCACGCGCTTTTGTTGTTTAGGCAAGTGATGTAAAACTAGGAAGCGTGTAAACTTTAGCGGGTTTAACGATAAAATAGCGAGGTCTCAACCAGAGCCAATTCTACGCGCTACATGAATGACAACATGCTCCACAGATGAATAAAACACGAGCTCTTTCACTCATAACTCGCGCTAAATGTGTTTAACTCACAGATGCATCCCCTGGGCATCTAACTATCTCGTCCAGATCTCTTTTTTTTTGGACATGGGCGACAAAAATGGCGTGATACTTTTCTGTCCAATCATTTCCACAAATACAACGACTGTTTAAAAGAAATAAACTTGAAAAGCACAGTACGCGAGGTGCGGAGTCTGAAGAGCCGCACAGACGCCTGTGACGTAACAAAGTAACACACTCAGCCTGTGTCTGTGACGGATCAGATGAAGAGCGATACATTTCAAACAAATGACACACTTTCTAAGTGAAGTATCGAGAGAAAGAAGCGCTTTCTGTCGCACAGAAGAGACTGATCATGTTGTGGGAACCTAATGTATCTGAATAAATCAGAATATGTATAGAGTTTTAAAACATTCTTTTCTTTATTACAACACAAACTTTCGGATTCGGTCATTTATTATTTATTTATTTTTATTATTTTATTATTATCATTATTACTTTTACCAAAAAAAATGATATTTTTAGGTAGGAATAATGTGCTGTCGATTTTTAAGACTATAATTCTAAAATAGTTTACGATGGGCAGAAAAAAAAATATTGAAATGTTTAAAACTACTTTCAGTGTTTACCCTCATATAAATGTTTTTATTTGATTTGATTATTATTATTGTTGTTTTTAAAGATTTATTACATTTTATTGCTGTTGTTTTATACTGGTTGGTATCGTTCATTGAAGTTGATTTTGATATGAATAAAAACGCCTGGTAGCGAGGTGTGGCTGTAATGTTTTGTAGGCTACTTTTTCACGTGTTCTGTAACGCTGTTTATGTATATAGCACGTTTTGTCTAGCTAACTCGGGTTTTTGTTGTTGTTGCAAAAACAGAAGCACATATTTCACTGTTCTGAACAAACCAACAACACTGCAGCAAACATTTCACACAAACTTCAAACGAAACAACAAGGCACTGTTCAAAACAGCCTCCGAAATGATTTAGCATTTCTGTTAGATATTATAGGAACATAAAAGACTCCTAGTCCTACGAAAAGGAGTAGCATATCTGCTCAAGCCACTTGGTATGATATTGCAATTTTATTTTATAACTCATCAAGTCTGGTTTACCGTCCAAATCATTTCCTTCAGTAAAAATGAATGAAAAAATAATACAAATACATCAAATAGACGATGCACCCTTATAGAAAAAAAGAAAAAGAAAGAGAAGCAATAATCAGAAGCCAGTGCTTTAAATGAAAACGCTCTCAGATTATTCAGTGATAAATGAAACATTTGTATGACATGTTATGCGTTTGGTAGCTTCCTGAATTGTTGTTGTGCTTTCTGATATTGTCCTTCAGTATCCGACACAAGAATCGGCGTGCATTGCTTTTTATGAAATAAAAACATATATACCTTCCATAAATCATATTTATAACCAAAACCAGGAAAATACAGCTGTCCCCCGGTGCTTCTGGTTTGCTCTTCAGATGTGAGTGTGTGTGTCTAAGTGTGCCTAATAGCCTGTACTTGTCCCAGTCAATAGGCTTTTAATACCAAAGCGTCTGAAATAGCCTATATGTGTATTCTGAGCACACGTACTGGGCGAGATTATATCATAGAAGGGCTCAGGTAATTGTGTGAAGTCTTCGCTAAAGGTTGCACATATTATATTAATAGTAGTAAGGTGAATGTTGAGCTGAAAGTGATGGAGCCTCATGCCGATAAAGTTGAAAAACACACAGATTACTGAATAATCTCAGGTTTAGATTACTGTTCACTCGTCGCACATGCACCGCTCTTAATCTGCACAAGTGAGATCATCCTTCGAGAATAATGTGTCCCTGGATATTAGAAAAATGCATCGAGGGAATATGCATATACTGTAAAAATTATATTTATATATATTTTATTGTTGGCACTTTTTGGATCATTTTAATTTAATTATTGCCGAATAAAATCGAAACTCTCAGACAAATCCAGCAGGAATCCCTTTTTCCACATTTACCCCCTATAAGGTAATTGTTCATCTTTAAGATTTTTAAGAGTTTTCTATTTTATTTCATATTGTAACGATTTTTTTATTCTACTTAATTGTATTCTTTTTGTTTGATAGAATATTCACATATTATTTTTGTAGTGGGAATTTGCATCGAAGCAGCCTGATCGAACACCTCCAACATGTTCTGTGGCAACAACAAAAAAAGTCTCTCTTTCATGAGAGACAGAAGCAGGCAGGTGAAGTGTGTGGCTATTTGCCTGATAAAAGAGCTGTGACAGACAGACAGACAGACAGACAGACCGAATCGGAATCTCTGCTTTCCTGTCGGAGATGGCTGTGCGAAGCTGCCAGACGTGCTAGCAGAGGTGGGGGGATCAAAGTTAAAGGCTTTTCTATTCCTCTCTGATTTAGGCTGTCGCTGTGCCAACGACGACACCTTGAAGGGCGACAGGAGCGAGCGGGTGTGAAAAGGGGCGAGTATAAAGTCGGTGGCTTTAAAAGCGCTCGCAGCATCTCATCACTGCGCTGAACCTCTACTGCGCTCATTCACGACTATGGCATTCTTTTTTGACCAATCGTTGGATTTGGTTAAAAAAATAAGCTTGGAGACAGAAAGAGATTTTATTTTCAACACAAGCATGGTCCAGTTGACAGGTGAGCATATACACCCATTAAACAGCATGTTGGATTGATACAGGCTAGTTTGGATACTCCTTCTGATTATTCTCGCCTGTGTATAGTTAAAGAACTCTGGCATTCTTATAAAGCATTTCTTCCTAACAGTGGAGACGATAGTGTGTGTGTGTGTGTGTTTTCTGACAACACTTATCTGAACAGCTGACTTTGATCTTTAGATGTAGCCAGCAAGCATCCGTTGTCTCCTGAGCTCGAGAGGACTCCGCATGCTGAGGGGCAAAGGAAAAGGAAGAGGACGATCTTCAGCCGCGCGCAGCTGTCGGAGCTGGAGCACGCTTTCATGATCACGCCGTATCCAGACATCACTCTGCGCGAGCGGCTGGCTGCACTCACGCTGCTTCCAGAAAGCAAAATCCAGGTCAGAAAACTAGAGAATGCTGTGCATTACTATTGATGTGTCTTGATTTCACATCTTAACATTTCTTTGCAGGTGTGGTTCCAAAACAGACGAGCTCGCAGTATGAAAAGCAAGAAGTCGAGCACAGCAGTTAGGAGGAGTCCAGGCAGGGATGCGAGCTCTCACTTTATAACCAATCTTGATTCAAACCCGGAACAAATGTATGGTGTTCCAGAACACAGAGACAGGCCAGAGGCCTGCAGAGGCCACCAGCAAAGCCTTAGACCAGCTCTCAGTCCCTGGTCTCAGAATCTTCCGCATCCAACGCCACCCACACCAGCCATTTCTCCAGAGCTGCCCGGAGGTCTCCAGTGGGGGAGCAGACAGGCTGAAACCCCTGGAGCTTCATCTCTCTCCAGCTGCCCATCCGACAGGTTGGCTCACTATCCCTTCCAAAGCCAGTCAAGCGGTCACTGGCAGATCAACTGCTTTTCAGCTCACCCTGAAGGCTTCTCCGGGCATCAGCTGAAATCTTATTGTGCTGCCAATCAGGCCATGTATTCTTCCATGTCTGTGGACCAAGCGATGCCTGCACATCAAACCAGTTTGGAGGAAGCGCTGCAAAGACAGTCTCTGACACACTACCCTCAGACCTCACTGGGAGACATCTCCGACCTCATATATAAAGCAGCTGTAGTCACCAATCTGGAAGACTGCTAGTACAGTAGTTTGATTTGTTCAGTTGTTCATATGTGTTCATGATTTGTTGCTATTTTGATCATTGCAAATGTGAAGAGCTATAGTTTAGGATTGTCCCACAAGATTGTGAAAATGTTATGCAATCTGCCAACTGTAAAAAAACAAGAGTTGGTTCCTCGTCAGTTAGTTTTTGATTTAATACAGTTATTTTGGTTTTAAACAGTATGTCTTTCTGTAAGTGTGATGGGAAAAGTTCCTCTGTATTCTGTTTTTATTAAGATGTTTACATGGTGTGCATTGATATTTATGTAAATTAATCCCTTGTTAATCTATTTATTTGCATTCAACCAATTAAAGGTATCTTTGTCATATATTTTTTTGTCATATATATATATATATAAAATTTCTTTTGTATGTGTGGTTACACTTATGTGTAAAATGATGTCTGACAATACCAATTTTTCATAAGAAAGCATGTTGTTTAGGTGGTATAGGTACTAATGTACTACACAAATCAGTTTTGTTTTGACTAATCGTTTATTCATAACATCAAAAACATTTTTATTTAATCTTAAATATAAGACAATCACATCAGATATCAAATGTGTTGCAGTATAGCAGGATAAAGCAATGAAATCTAAATTATACCTCACCAGAACAAAAACAAAACCTGGGAATAAACAATAAATGCAAAAAACAAAACAATAAACGAAAGATAAAAAAAAATGTAAAACCTCAGGGCTCATGTTTTATCAGCTTATGGGTCTTAGATTACATTTGGATTTGAAGATCCAAACAGTATATTACTATCGAAGTAATTATGGAGAAAATAGCAGAGACCTCCCAGGTCTCCACTGACCTACTGGACACTGAGCTCTATGTATCATAATCATCTCCGCAGCAAAATAATCTTCAAATAAAATAGAAAAAATTCTCATAATCCTAGTGTCAAATCTACAGTCCTTCTCTGTTGTGTGTGTTCCTGATGCAGCTACATCCTTTAATCCAGGAGAAGATATTGAAGGGATATGTGCTTATTTGGTTAGAATCAAAACAGGAACTATAATCATAATCATATACAGGTTGATCGGTACACAATGTTAGGTGATCCCGAATAACTCATTTTCATTTCTCCAGATTATTTTTTACATTACAGCACAAGATGGCAGTACAGCCAACCTTTTAATAATAACAATAATAATAATAATTATTATTATTACTATTTCTTGTTAAACTTCAGTTTAAGAAGTAAAATACAATGTATCCTAAAAATCAATTTAATGTCAATTGTATTTTCCACACCTGGCCTGGTGTCTAAATCTCTCTCAGACCTGCCTTCATTGGTGACCGCTCAGTTTAAGCACTGCGTCTGTTCTCTGTGAAATTAAACCACTGTTAAGCACCTCAATACACTCTGACGCTGCCCTCCATTCAGCTAAACAACAAGCTAGTCTGGCGTTGGTATAAAATAGAAATGCTACCAAAATGAATAAAAATGCAACCAGAATTCAAGATAAGGCCTGCCCCTGCATAAGCTCCTGTTTATTTGTGT